ACCTTCGTACCCAGGAGCTGGGAAGGGTGGCCAGAGCTGGCTGGAGCTGTGCATGTCCCATCAGTGCTGAGGAGATGGCACTAAAGGTGCTCACACTGGCTGTGCCCAGGGAGTTTGGGTGGGTCTCCTCCCCTGCTCTTTGTAACACTGCAGCCTCTGTGCTGAGCTGATAGTACAGGGATTTGCCTTGGGAGCCAAACTTCAAAGCTAAAAATTAAAAACAAATTGAATTTACGAAGGTGATCCTTATTGTGGGGACTGCAAATGCACAACAGTGTGTTCAGGGTGATGTTGTCTTTGGCTAAGCCACTTGTTGAGTACAGCCTGACCCCTGACTCTTGGCACGGGTCAGAGCTTGTTGCTGCTGAGGCTGCATTGAGCTCAACCATACCTTACACAGTGGTACCTTGTGTGCTCAGTCCTTCAATAATGGGATACAGGGATGCTCTTGGATAAACTTCCTGCATCCACTTGTCAGCCGTGATGGCAGTGAGAGGTTGGCTTGGTGCTGCACAGAGTGCAAGGGCTCTGTTTATTGCTCCAGCCAGGGGTGGGTGTGAGATCCATGGTGGGTTTGCGAGGACATGGCCCTGTCACCCCATGGGATGTCACCTGTGATGACACACAGCCACCATCACCTGTTAACGTCACCACGAGTCTTGTACTGAGATCAGTGAAGGTTGAGAAGTTGGTGCTGGGAGGATGGTACCAAAGGCTTCCCAGCACAGGAGTAACCTCCTCCTCCTCAGCCACCAAACCCGTGTATCATGTCAGTGCTTGTCTGGAAAGCATGGATGTGCTTTGCAGCCCAGCAGTGTGTCCTGTGGGTCTTGCAAGTCTCCCCCACGTTTCTCTTTCAAAGACTCAAGCCTTAAAGCCTGTGGCAGATTCATCTCCCAGGTGCATTTGTGGGTGTTGCCAGGTTTGAGGACAATACTGTGCCCCTTCCACTTCACATCCCTCTTGAGCCACTCGCACCTCTTGCTCCTAAATGAGTGTTAGTGGTGATCTTAGGATGAGGATGACTTTACTCCTGACAGCACACTTCCATAAAACCAGTATTTGGGAAACACAGTTCATTCTTTTTTGCAGTGATTGGCATTTGTCCTATCTCTTGTTCAGCTTTGCTCTCCATTAATATTTGCCTGCCACACTTATCTAATAATTGACAAATTACAGCTACAATTACCCTGTTTTTCAGCTATTGAGATTAATAGAATGAATTTAAATGATCAGCTTTTAATGGCCTGATAAGTAATCCTGGGCAAAATCACTGTTTAGGGTTTTAAAATGATGCCACTTTACCAGCTGCATTTGGTGTTAATTTTACTGTGGTGTTAGGACTGACTTTGGTCATTGTATGTATTTTAAGAAAGACCCTAGAACTACCTCATACAGAAAATCCTTCAAGTGCCTTAGCTTGGATGGCTCTTTTAATGCCATATAATAGGCAAACTGAGCAGTTAACTGCTCTGCCATGGTCTGCTGAGCAAACTCTAATAGAGAAATTGTATTGGGTTTACTGTGGCTGAAAATACTTTGAATGTTTAGTTAACTTTTTCCTCCTAATTTCACTAAATTGAAAATAATCAGACTTGATCTTGGAATGGAACATACTTGTTTGAGTACCTAATTTTGTGTTTGAATTTATTTTGAAGCTTATTAAGTCTCAAAGAAAACATTACAATATCGCCAGAGAAGTCACGCCAGAGCCCTTAAAACTTCTCCTTTTTAAAATCTGAACCAATTTGCTGATATCTGCACCAGTGAGTCACGTGCCCTGGTTGAGCTGAAACTTTTTTTGCATAAAAATGGAAAGCGCTGGGTTTGCTCTGATGGCCTTGCTGGGGGCTGCCTGTGCTGAGGACGCACAATTTACAGCCAGTTACATCTTTTGAACTCACCCCTCTGGCTTTCAACAACTCTTTAGTGAAACTAAAGGTTTTATTGAGTTGCACTCTGGGTTTTTGATGGGCTGGCAGGAGATCAGTGGAGGTGCAGAAGGACACAAGTGTGGCTGCACAGAGTTGGTCCTGAGGGTCCTCACTGCAACTGGGGGAAGAGCAAAGCTCCTGCCCCAGGAAAGCATTGTAGAGCTCTGCTGCTTTCTTGTTCTCCATCAGAACAAGTGTTGTCACATCCTGTGAGAAGGGAAGGCATCAACCTGGTCGAGTGGGTGGCAACCCTGCCCATGGCAGGGGAGTTGGAGCTAAATGATCTTTAAGTTCCTTTCCAACCCAAACCTTTCTCTGATTTTATGATCAGTGGTCCTGGAATGGTTGGAGGCTCCTCTGCAGTGCTGGTGCAGCACTGGTCCTGGACCAGTGTTGAGATCCCCATTTAATTTGTGTGCACAAGTTTCTGCTCCAGATAAACCAGAGGGTTTGGGGTGAGAGACCATGTGCCCATGGAGCTCTGTGTGCCAAGGAGCAGAGCCCTGGAAAAGGCACTGGGCTCCTGCATCCATCATTATTTCTGCTTGCTCAGGCATCATCTCCTGGAGCCACAGTTCAGAGAAAACTCTTTCATCTCTCTCTGGGCGCTTTCTTTGGCTTCAGGCAAGGTCATGTCACCCACTTGTGTCTGGAAAAGTCTTGTGCTTTGTTTACCCAAAACAAACACTCAGGAAGAGAGCTGAAATGTAATCTGCAGCGAGCAGCCTCCCACAGACCTGGAGGCCTGGGGGTTTGCCAGCAAGGCGCCCTGGGGAGATGAGCAGCTGGGTTGTGCCTCTGCTGATTGCATCCTTATCTAGAGCCTTTTAGGCACACCTTTCCATCTTCTCTTGAGTGTCCTTTGGCCATCTAAATAGCATAGATTGCTTCTCAGCTGCAGAAAAGGATGCCCTGAAGCACTGATCTTGGGGAAACCCAAAACTTTTTGGGTTGAACAGCATTGAGCTGCCTTAGTTTAGATCCCTCCAGACCCAAAGAAATGCTGGCAGGGGAGGAAGAGCCTGTTGCTGGTGTTGGAGAGGAACCTTGCTGCTTTACAAGCGTCTCACCTGCAGGAGTGGCAGGAGGAGGTGACTTGCATGGACAGAGGACACCACAGAATCTGCATTCTCGTTGATGGGAATGTCACATTGGGATGTTCTTGCAGGAAACACTTGAGAAGTGTTTGGAGTGAGAAGACCTCAATAGGTTCAGGTTGCTTGGTTTTTAAATCCAGCGTGAGCAAGTTTCAAGCCTGTAAGTTTTATCCATCAGAAAGGGCTGTCACAAGGGCTGTTGGATATCTCAAGGAGTGGAGCTTGCCTGGTTTTGAAATAGGAGTTGGAGCTCAAGAGTGGAAAGCATGCCAGGCGTCCACATCTGGCGATGCAGATCAGTCCATGGTGTGTTATTTTATCTGCTGCTCTGCAGGACATTCAGTCCTCATAAGCAGGATTGTGTAACTCAAGATGGGGGGGAAAAGCAGGTTTTTCCCTTTTCCAGTCTTCCTCCCTGTAGATTCAGATCGTATCTTAAGGGTAGGAGAAGTGACAGGGATATCTTTTTACAGCCTGCTAACAGTGGTGTCTCTGGGCATGTTCGTGACCCCCTGGGCCAGCTGATTGCAACAGTGCAGGATCAGCAGCTCGAGCTGTCCTGAGCCTGGCACCAGTGCCTGTGGAGGGGCATGTCCTGTGGGGGTGGGCTGGCCCCCAGCCCTGCCCCTGCCCAGCAGTGAGGGCCCTGTGCAGCAGCAGTGGTGGGTGACAGCCCTGGCCGTGGGTCGGGGGGCTCTGCCTGCACGGCAGGGCTGCAGGGCAGGGTGGGCACGGGAGCGAGCTCGTGGGCATCAGTGCCAGGAGCTCACATCACCTGCTCTTGGACGCTCCTGAGGATCCAAAAGGATCCAAGGGAGGTGGACAGTCCTGCCTTGCCCTGCTGGCAGGGACCGCTTACTCGTTTTTCCTCCCAGCTCCTCGTAGTTATTGTTTGATACATACCCTGATGCCAGAGGGTTTGTGGGTTTTAATTAGTAACCCTGGGTGGTTTAATTATCCATGCAAATATCCAGTCCTCTTCTGAATCCTACTCAATTCTTACTCTGCAGAAAACATCTATGCAGTAGAATGTGCACGATGTTACAACTAACAACTTTGGGTATCAAGTTGCTGCTCTACAGTTTGATTAAAAAAATAAAATTAAACATGCATTTTGTAGGCTATGCTGTTACTTAAAAGAAAACAATGCTGGAAAGATGAATATCTAGCTGAAACATTTTACAGCTAATATTTTCCTTCCCAGTTTGACTTCCAAATTACATCTGTCATGTTCCTCCAAAAGCCCCAGCTGGCTAATGAAAAAAACTTACTTTTGTTTTTCTGGGGCTCTTTCTCCAAAATCCAGTGTTTCAGCAATAATCAGGAAACAGGGTTTCACAGTGAAAAGACCCGAGTTACTGTCCCATTTTTAATGAGTAAAAATTTAAGTGTTTTATTTTGAAACCAGTTTGGTAGCTCTGTGGGACAACTTGTTATTATTTTTTACAGCACCTTGAACCATGGGACCGACCTCTTGTGTAGGATTAGAGATCCTGTAAGCTCTGATAATACCAAGTAATTAACAACCCATCAGGAGCTGATTCTTGGAAGTGAAGTCAAAGTTTTTGTAATGACTCTTAGCAAATTAATTGGTGTTTGGCTGCCTGTGACTTCAAGGAGGAGTAAGCTGGAAAGCAAAGGTGTTTGGGGTTTGCTTTTTTCACTCTTCCCTAACTCTGAGCCATGCAAGCTAAATAAGGATAGGGCAGTTCCTGAAAATTACTGGAAACAGAATAATTTTCTAAAGACTCATTAAATGTGTGAGCTGCAGCAGCTGTAAGAAAATACTTAGTATTTAGATGTTGAAAAATAAACTTTATAATGATTATATTTTAAAAATGTTTCTGTGCTTCCTTGTCATGATTTTGTCCCTGTATTGGCTGCATTTATACCCATGTGAGTGCCAGCTACTTATCTCTGAACTTTTGCTGCAGCTCTAAGAATACCTGACCCATTTTTCTTATTGCAGGTTGAGCTTCACGTCCACCTGGATGGAGCCATTAGACCAGAGACAATCTTGTACTTTGGCAGGTGAGCTGTGGGGTGAGGAAAGCTCTGGGAGCTGCAGTTCCAAAGCATCAACCTTTCTCCTTGTCCAGGTCTGTGACAGAAGAGCTCCTGCAGGCAGCAAACCTGGCTGGTGCTGGTGCTGTCTCTGCCCAGATGGGTCCTCTGGCACAGTGTGGTGACACTGAGCACATCCCAAAGGACAGTGGGGCTGCACAGTGTGGTGACACTGAGCACATCCCAAAGGACAGTGGGGCTGCACAGTGTGGTGACACTGAGCACATCCCAAAGGACAGTGGGGCTGCACAGTGTGGTGACACTGAGCACATCCCAAAGGACAGTGGGGCTGCACAGTGTGGTGACACTGAGCACATCCCAAAGGACAGTGGGGCTGCACAGTGTGGTGACACTGAGCACATCCCAAAGGACAGTGGGGCTGCACAGTGTGGTGACACTGAGCACATCCCAAAGGACAGTGGGGCTGCACAGTGTGGTGACACTGAGCACATCCCAAAGGACAGTGGGGCTGCACAGTGTGGTGACACTGAGCACATCCTAAAGGACAGTGGGGCTGCACAGGTAGCAGGAGCATGAGCAAGGTGGTCATGGGTTTGTGAGCCGGGCAAGCCAAGAGGAGCCACCATGAGAAAAGCCCTGAAGGTGTCTCATAAACAGCTGCCTGCCTTCGAAGTGTGGCTGGGACACAGCAGAGCAGCTGTATTCTGATTCCTTTTTCCATGTTCCTAATTGCAAAAGCAAGTGAAATGGCAGCAGGTGGGAGCGTTGTCTTGGTGGTGGTTCCATGGTTTGGGAGGAAAAACCCACCCTGCCCTGCTGCCTTTGAACCCTGGGCTCTCTGCCTGGTGTCAGCAGTCACGCTCACGTGTGTGGGTGACCCCAGGAGCTCTTGGCAGTGGCTTGGAGAGAGGTTGTTTCCTTGACAGAGCCCACATGCATCTTCTCCCCTCAGTGTAGACTGTGTGGGAAGCACTGGGTGAATGATTAACTGGTGTGAGGACCTGGCTCCATGCTTGCAGGAAAAATAAACAAGATTTCTTCCAGCTGTCACTGATACCCTCAGATCAAGAAGGTTGTGAGCTTAAGGATTTCAGGGAATGGCTCTCAGGCACAACTTTGGTACTTTGGGGAGGAAATCAGTTCTGAGGAGCATGGGAAGTGGTTCTGGCATCCTGTGAGCCCAGCAGGCTCCAAGGCAGTGCAGTCCTAGGGGGAATATTCTTTCTACAGTAGCTTTTTCTGCAGGACATGGCCATACCTTTGGCAGTGTAGTCAGAGCAAGGAGGATGGATCAGAGCTGTCCATCCCATTCGCTGCAGGATGTTGGCCCTGAGCTGAGTCAGGGTTCCTGCTGGTGGGCTGCAGGGCTGGAATACAGGTCCAAATGGACAGACGAGTCGGTGGTGACTCCCTGGGACTCTGCTGGGTCCCTCTTCTAGAAAAAGGAAAATGCCAGTGGAGGGCTGTGGGACCCCTGAAGCCCAGGAGGCCCTGGCTGTCTGGGGATCCTGTGCCAGGATCCTTGCTTAGGGCAGAAACCTTCATTGCCTGAGTGTGTGCCGAGTTCCCTCTTATTTTTAAACAGCCCTGGCATCCCCCAGAGCTGCCAGCCCTCGGGTGGAGCAAGGCTGTGCTATTCGTGAGCTCTAAAACTTGCACTCGCACAAAAAAAGCAGTGGGGCAGTGCAGGAGGTTGTAGGGGACTGACTGCCTTAATAACCTCACCCTGGGCACAGAAGGCTGCTTGTGGTCTATTTTTAAAGGTAAATAGCTGGAAATAAATTTGCCAGGTGGTGGCATAATATAACCCCGAGCTGCTGGGATGCACAAGGTCCCTTGGGCAGTGCACTGCTGAACTGGGCTGTTTTTAGAAACTTTGTCTCCAGTTCTGTCACGTCTGGGCCAGGGTTTGCATCCCCCCTGCCCAGCCAGAGGGTTTAGAGCCATGGCAGATCCCTCATGGGACTGAGTGTCCCCAGGAAAGCTGCCCTGTCCGAGGTGGGATGGTGTGTGTGGTGCTGCCCATGGCTGGAGGTGGCTCTGGGCAGGACACCGAGGTGCTGGTGGGCACGAGCACCTTCCCTGGAGCAGCTTTGCCTCAGGAAGGATCCCACCTACCAGCAGGGTTGGATGGGGCAGCAGCAGCTCCCAGAGCCACACTGGCATGATCCACCAGACCTCCTCATCCAGAGACCTGACTCCAGGGCAGATCATCCCAAAGCACTGCTGCTGCTGCCTGTGCAGAGGCAATCCTTCGGGAAGCACAGGAAAATGTCAGGGAAGGGGCTTTGCTGTAGGAAATTTTCCCTGGGCAGGTGGAGGGAGTGCATGCCGGTTCCTAGGGCAGACACTGATGTGTCAGTGCCATGGAAAGGGCAAGGCAGGGAGGAAAACCAATGCCCTGGCAAGACGAGTGTTCCCTGCTGAGTGCCAGCAACTTAATCTGTGCAGATTGCATGTGAGGGCTGAGCGTGGGGCTGGTTTCCTTCCTGGCCGAGGGGGGAAGGAGCAGTGTTTACTGAGCCCAGGAGCAGGGTCCTTTGGACTGTGTCCCTGCATGGCTCCCTGGAATGGTTGCTGGCATGGGGACAATAAAGCTGTCTGCGGTGTTTTGTCTCTATTAGCAGAGATCCACCAATTAGCTGTAATTCATTGTGGCAGAAAAGAGGATTAAAAACAAATGTCTGGTTATTATTCCAAATTTATGTTGGCTTGTGCAGGGTACCAGAGTGTGGGGGTGGCAAAGCCTGCCCAGGAAGCCTTCAGCACCCTTGGCTGGCAGCCTGGCTGTTGCCCCACTGCCCTGGGGACACCTTCCCCCACACAGTACTCCAGCTGCTCCAGGGAAAAATGGCCTCTCCCCTCTTGGAAGTACTTAAATGGGCTTTAGCATCGCTATCCCTTTGGTGAGAGCAGTTGTTGCCATTTGCTCCTGCGTGGAAGGTGTCCCTGTCAGAGAAGACACTACCACAATGCTGGGCTCGGGAACCAGCTCACTCACAGGAACTGAACCCCTGAGCCACGACACTCCTGCCTGCATGATCCCAGGCCTTGGAGCATCCCCTCGATTTTTCAAACCTTTGAGCCTGCATAAGTGGATATTGACTTTTCTAAAGAATTTTGGCAATTCCTAGGACTAGGAGGTGCCAAGAAATAATCCAGAGCCCCTTTAGATGAACTCCTTCTTAAGCTTAAAATGTGCCCTGGCTGTGTTCCTGCAGGGTCAGTCTGGGCTTGCATTTCGGTTTGTTTGTGCTTTGCCTGTGTTTTGGATTGCCTTCCTCCCCGCTGAGATTCAGGGCAGCATCCACGAGGAGATTTTGGAAGGACAGTGTGTGCTGTGTGTCTCTGTGAAGGAGTAGTGGTTGATGCTGCCAGCTCGAGATGTGATCGCTGTGTGAGAGGGACTGATCAAGAATGTGATACCTTCCCTCCCTGTCAGTGACACGTGCCTTCACTTTCAGAAAAAGAGGGATCCCTCTCCCTGGCGACACTGTTGAGGAGCTCCTGAAGTACGTCAGCTATGACACACCGCTGACACTTCCCCAATTTCTAGAGAAATTTAATTACTACATGCCTGCTATTGCGTAAGTACCCTGCTTTTTGCTTCTCCCCCCTCAACCCTTGGCAGCATCCCTTGGCTCAGCCCTGGAGGTTCCCTGTGTGCCCTGAGGGCGAGCAGTCCCAGTGATGGGTGGCCCTGCTGTCCCTGCAGGGGTGACCGTGAGGCAGTGAGGAGAATCTCCTACGAGTTTGTGGAGACAAAGGCAAAGGAAGGAGTCGCCTACGTGGAGGTCCGGTACAGCCCTCACCTCCTGGCCAACTCTGGCGTGGATCCCATCCCCTGGGGACAAGCTGAGTGAGTGATCCTGCTGTGCCAGGGAGCTGCTGGGTGGCCAGCTGGGCATGGAGAAGGCATGGCCCACTCTGGACAGCAGTTGTGTGTCCAAAGCCTGCTGTAACCAAAGCTCCTCTCTCCCCCCATGCAGTGAGCACCAGCATGCTTCCACCTCTCCTTCCCACCTGTAGGGTTTTTCATCTTGAATATCTCTGTGTGCTGCTGTGTCTTAATGTCCCTTGCTCTGGGCACCAGATTCTGCATGTGCAGGGCAGCTCAGTCTTCTGGCTGGAGCTGTTCTCTGTGCGAGGCAAGGCAAGTCCTTCACATGTGGACTGCCTGCAAAATGGGAATTTGAGCTGGCAGAGATGGTGGGTGGCATTGGAGGGGGCTGGTGATCCGATCCCTTCCTTGCATGTCATCCCCTCTGTGATGTGTGCCTCTTATTAAATCAGTGCTGGGCTCTGTGGCCCCTCCAAAGTGTGCTGTGGTGGGCATTGAGCCCCATGCTTGCCCCTGCCTGGCTGCAGGCAGTTGTGTGTCCTAATGAGATACTCTGGCAAAGAGGGGGTGCCTCTGTGCAGGATTTGCCCCTGGTTCCCTGAGGCATTTCTAGATCTTACTGTCATCTTCACGTGCTTTTGTGGTAAATGTGGGCATGGCATGGGTGTAAAAGGTGCTCATAAGTTCTGGGTGGTCTCATCGGGTGCCTCTGGATGTTGAGGCGAGTGGAGCCCCGGGCAGCCTCCCTGGCTGGTGTCTGCCCTCTTGCTGATGGCTTTTCTTCCCTGCAGGGGAGACCTCACTCCAGATGAAGTCGTTCAGCTCGTAAATCAGGGACTACAGGATGGAGAAAGGGATTTCCACATCAAAGCCAGGTCTATTCTATGCTGCATGCGCCATATGCCAAGTAATGTATTGCAGCTCCCCTGCTGCCCTGCTCCCCTTCCCTGGCGCGTGGCGGGGGGTGATGGCCCCTGGGTTTGGGTCCCTGCACAAATGTGGGGAAAGCCCCTGGTCTGTGGGTATGATGCAGGACCAGACAGTGCTGAGGAGGAGTTCTTCCTTGGTGGAGGTCCTCTGCTCCCTTCACTGGGGGGAAAAGGTTTGCTGGATGGGAGAGGGGGGGTCTGTGGGTGTAACCAGTATGTGAAATGTCTTGCTCGTCTGTCCTGTGCCTGGGGAGCTGTGATCTCTGCTCCCTGCCCAAAGGCCAGAGCACCCCTTGGGCCAGTCAAAGCCATTGGCACAGGGAGCACTTGCATCTGCCGTGCTGTCTGGTGGGTCTGAGAGCAAATGGTCGTGGAAGGAGGACTGAGATCTCACACTTCCCTGCTCATGGTCCTGCTGCTACAGCAGCATGTGCTCCTTCCTTAGCCTGGATCATGGGGCAGCCAGAGAATCAGTCCACTGGCTGCAGTCAGTCTCTGCTGGCTTAAGCTGAAAACACAAGTCAAATATACTTAAGACAAATACATAAAATATTTTTAAAAATATTTTATATTACAAAAATATTTTTAAAAAATCAGCAGCTCTGAACTTGGTCAGTAACAGGTGCTGTGACCCAGAATAGGAAGGAAACCTGATTTCCAGCATTTCAAGGGGCTGCTGAGTTCTGTGAGGACCTTCCTCCAGGGAAGAATGCAGTCAGAGAGAGGCTGTGTGACAGCAGCTGTTTTATGTGAAGACTTTTCTCTGAGTATCTTCATATCTGACATTAGTTTCAAATAGGCTTAATAGGGTAGATGGTGGAAAGATATTTCCTAATGAGTACATGGTTAATTTGTGTCTAGAAATGTGAAAAATAACATTCTTTGGAACCGGGACATTGGAGAGCTGGAGGTTTTTTTTCCTGCCTGCACAGCCAACCGCAAACAAGACTTTGAAAACTTGACCCTGTCATTTCTGGTTTCTCGGGAGAAAACATTTTTCTTTGTAGAAACTGGAAAGCTGTAAGGCACAGTCACCCTGATCTGCAGAGTGCCAGCACACGAGTGGTAACGGCAGGAGGTGGCAGGAGCATCTGAGGGCACGTGCAGCTGCACTGCAGGAGGGATTGCTTGTGCAGGCAACAGAGCTGGCATTCTCATACCTGTATCCCAGGGCACCAGCTCTGTTACCCAGAGCCAGGAATGTGCTTGGTAAAGAGTCTTTAGTGCTACGTTCAGGATATGCTGCATATCACCTGTGATACTAATCACAATGAGCTGTTGAGAGAAAGGCAGAGATGCCAGCCAGAACTAGCTTGTATTAAACTTGTTGATAAAATAGTGGCTCTAACCCAGTGAGTTGGGAACTGATGAAAACAAAAAGAAGATGAGATTGCACACATCATCTTATGTGTTCTTATGGTTTGGGGATTGTATGTACACAGCAGGTGCCTGTTAATTATTAACACTACTGTTTATCTCTGTTTCTTGGCCTTTCTGCTAAGGTTAAGTGCTATGTGAGCTGGTAGATGCATGTCCTTTAGCAGAGGTTATCTATCCTGATCAGAGAGAGCTCTGAAGTAATTGTCAACCACTTGTTACTCTCTCACTGATGTCAAATAGATAAAAGTTCAGCTCCTTCCCACCAGGAGTAGAATCCATCATCTTGCCCCGGGGAAGTCGAGGATGCCCTATAACAGGGCATGGCTGACTGTTATACAGGCCCCCCCAGAGATCACTCTCAGCCCAAACTCCTCCTTAACACGACACATCCAACAGATGCCCAGCCTGGGATGGGGTGAAAGCTCAGGAGTGAGTTGAGGGAGTTCTCCAAAGCACCCTGTTACAGCCTCAGGGCAGTGCAGTTCATCTTACCTTGAACCAAACACTGTTTGGAGGGGATTTTTTTATTATTTTTTTTTCTCTTCCTCAGAGTGAACAGAAGAACATGATAAGAGCAGTTTTATAGCTGGTGAATGCATTTGGTTTCCCTTTCCTTGATGACAGACCGATCAGTTGACAGCTTTTATTGGCCTGAAGACGACAGGCTTTTCTAGGAGTTTCTTTTTGGAGCATCAAAAATTTTAGGAAAGACCAAAGAAAACAGCTCTAGTCTTCTAGTAATAGGAGCAGGATTTGTTCATTAAAATGCTTCCTCCTAAATGCTGGTGCTGTCTCTTCCAGGCTGGTCTCCAGAGGTGGTGGAGCTCTGCAAGAAGTATCGAAACGACTCTGTGGTGGCCATTGACCTGGCTGGGGATGAGACCCTGAAGGTGGAGAATGACTCTGAGCATAAGAAGGCTTATGAGGTTTGTGGAATTAAGCTTCTTAAAAGAAATTACAAGGAAAATACATATTGAGGGGACGTGTGTGAAGGGACAAGCAGCACGTTTTCCCAACTGCAGACGGCTGGGACAACTTAGAAATGCATTGCAGCTATTAAAAACATTCAGATAAATAGCAGAAGTGTTTGTTTATATTTCCTAAATGATTAATGGCAGGCATCACTGCTTAAACATGGCCTTAGAGCTGGGGCTTGGCACACTACCCTGTAGCACTGAGCGTGACACAAGTGACTTGGAGCTCAGATCATCCCCCACCCCGCTGCTGTCAGCCCCTGGGGCTCAGTGGAACCATGGCCAAGGGTGGAAGAGACTGGCCTTTCCAGTCTGCCAGGAATCACCCGAGGAGCTGAGAGGAAGCTGCACATTTGAAGGGTTTTTATCTGATCATCTCAAATACAAACACTTTAATAGCTTCAGGAGCCTGATCCCAGACTCTTACTAGACCTCAGCCTTTGCAAAGGTTCTGAGGGAAAGTCTTGTTCCTCTTTGCTGGTGGGAATTTGGGGTTGTTAGTCCCCTCCATCAGTGGGGGAGGAGGTTGTGCACCCCCACTGGTAAAAAAGACAGTGGTTTGTAAGCAGTGCTCAGGTCTGAAAGCATGTGGGGCTTCCTGGGGTCTTCACCCCGTCAGTGGGAGCTGATACAAAGTCTGCCTGCACTGCTGTGCTGGGTAAACAGAGTGATTATAAACCAAGATGCAGGCAGAGGGTTTTATGAACAGATGGGCTGGTGTGTCTTCTCCTCCCTGCTGTGCCAGCAGTGCCCAGGTCCAGCCTTCTCCATCCAAGGGGTGTATCTTGTCTCTGTGCCAGGGCTCGCTCAGGCTCTGAGATGCTGAAGCAAACCCCACTCCCATCTGTATTAAATCAACTGAAAAAACCCTCCTGAGTGCAGAGCCCTGAAGGACTGTCTGAGGAGCGGCTGCTGCGGGATGGGGCTTGCAGCCTGCCTGCTGCTGCCAGCTGGGTGGCCCTTCTCCAGCAAGCCAGGAGCCAGGCTTCCCTCGAGGCTGCATGGCTTCCCAAAGCCCAGGTGGCCTCTGGGCCACCCTGGCAAAGGATTTTTCGGGTTGGTCATGGAGCTGCACCGAAAGCTGCACCTGCAGGGTCCTCTCGGCTGGGCTGCCTCCACCCCAGCCCCTTACAGGAGGGAGGTGCTCAGTGTCAGAGCTTTTCTTCATCTCTGCCCTGGGGGAGCTTCTAAATTCCCTCACGTGGCTGCAGCTGACCAAAAACGTAGAAGTTCCACAGGCTGGAACTGCTGCAAGGTTCATGCAGAAGGACAGGTGGGTGGAGGAAGGAAAGCTTGGAGCTTGCTGCTGTCTGGAGAAGAGGCACCCAAAAAAGCTCACCCAAAAAAGCCCTTGAGGAGCCTGGCTGGGCTCCAGCAGAAGGTACCAGGGTTTCTCAGTGTCTCTGTTTGCGGCTCTTCTCTTGCAGCCCTTGGAGTGCGGAGCCTGTGACCTGTGGGCTCTTGGCACAGAGCCCTGTTGCTTGCTGTGCCACCCCAGGGGTTTGCTGTCCTTGCTGTGGGTGATGGGACAGGAACACGTTCTCCCTTGTTTTGCAGGAAGCTGAGAGGTGTGGGATTCATCGCACTGTCCACGCTGGGGAGGCTGGCCCTGCTGCCATGGTCAAGGAGGTACGAGGAGTTCCTGAGTCAGGGCAGGGAGAGGGGCAGGGCTGGGAAGGGCCCTGCATCCCCTGCAGCAGGGAGAGAGGTGTCCCAGCCCTCTCTGTAGCCACAGCACAGCAAACACGGGGGACATGGCAGTGGCTGGAAAGGGCCATCCCAGAGCAGGGGCAGTGGTGGGGGCTGTCCCTGCAGTGGGACAGGGGGCTCAGGGCAGGCAGGAGCAGAGCTGGTGCTCGGAGGCTGTGAGTGGTTTTCCTGTGCTCTTTTTAGGCAGTTTATGTCCTGAAGGCCGAACGTGTTGGCCATGGATACCATGTCCTGGAGGACCCTGAGCTCTACAAGGAGCTGCTGAGAACAAAGATGCATTTTGAGGTAAGGACGTGTGGTGGGAGCGTGACAGCTGCTGTCTGAGTGGAAAACCAGCCCTTGTTTGGGCTGTGCTACAGCCAGGGGCACGACCTGACAGCCAAGTGCTGACCACACGTGTGGTAACATTGCACTGAACTCAGCTGCCCAAAGCTCCCCTGCAGAAAGGGTGGGGACACCTGTCTGTTTGCTGGAACCTGTTGCAAGGAGCAGCAGTGCACACAGCAGCTGGTGGGAGGCTCGTAGCAGAAAGAATGGATTCTGGTGTGACCAAGGATAAATTCACTAGTTTATATACCTCAAGTCTACAGGCTCCTCCTTCCACAAATCAGGCTGCTGTACCAGAGCAAGTCTGGTTAGAGGGTGGAAATGCCTGAGAGTTACTGTGCATGTGCAAATTTTCTTGGCTTTTCCCCAGAATGGTCATGTCCAGCTAATAGCTGGAATATATGTGTATATGCTTAATGGCAGCAGTTGGCACATCACTCATGACTGACTGGCCATGGGAAACATCCCACTGGCTCCTGCTGCTGCCATGTGGGTTGTGGGCTCTTTGCATCTATGTCCTGGGACATGCACTGGTCCATCAGAGTAGCACTGAGGGGCAGCTGTGAACAAAGCTCTAAGCCTGTATCTGGCTCTACCAGTGTGCTGAGCTATCTGTGTCCACAGCTGGGGTTCAGATCTGCGTGCTTGATTCTGCTTTTCATGCTTAACTCCCCCAAACAGGTCTGCCCTTGGTCCAGTTATCTCACTGGAGCATGTTCTCCGGACTTCACCACACACCCCGTAACACAGTAAGACTTCTCAATTATATGCAATCTTAAATAACCAGGATTTGGGTTGCTTTACTGTTTTACAAAGCTAAGGCCCATCTAATTATGTAGGACAATGTGGCACATCCTTGTCCTTTGGCACGGGGGGAGCTGGTGCAGCTGGAGGGGTGCAGGGGTCCCTTGGGTTGGCTGTCCTGTCCCTCCTGCTCTGAGCTGTGGGGCATGAGGTGCTGCACCCCAGCCACTACTGGCAGGTCAGTGCAGAGCTGTGGGGACAGAAGCCATGCTCCATGTCTGTCTCCAGCAGTTCCAGCTGCAGGGACAGCCCCGAGGTCTTTGCTTTTACTGCGTTTCCCCCTGAGAACTGCACAACGTCACATCCAGTGCTTTACCCACCACTTCAACCCCATTTCCTTACAGATTTAAGAAGGATCGTGCCAACTATTCTCTAAACACGGATGACCCCCTCATCTTTAACTCCACCATTGACAAGGATTATGGCATAGTCAAGGAACACATGGGCTTCACCGAAGAGGAGTTCAAGAGAGTTGTGAGTCAGCCCTGGCTGGGTGCTCTGATGCTGTCCTGGTGCAGCCCAGAACAACCTGCTGGTTTTTCTTTATGAGCTGAAGAATTTTTAATGGAAATCAGAAAGTGCTGCCCTGGCCTTGTAAGCAGGAGGCTGAGAGGGTGCTCTTCATGTCTGACGTGTTTTAACGTCTCCCTTGTGTTCCCCCTCTTCTTCCCCAGAACATCAATGCAGCCCAGTCCAGCTTCTTACCTGAGAAGGAAAAGCAGGAGCTGCTCAACAAGCTGCATGAAGCCTATGGGATGGTCCCCAACACATCGTGACCCTGTGAGCCAGCGTGGAGCAGGGCCCTTCTTCCTGTGCTGACTCCTCTGTGCCCCTGGGAGCTGGGGAGGAGGTGCCCAGGGTTGGTCTCTATTCCTGGCAGCCCTGTGTTAACCCTTACAATGCTCATCAGAATCAGACTGTCACATTCACCCACCTCTACCCCACAAACTCTTTCCCAAATGGATATCCAGCTTCCTATCCTGCTGCTGTGCAAGCAGACTGGATCTGCCTGCTGGCCTGACTCCCTTCTCCATCTGTCAGTGCTTCTGTACTGCAAATGCAAACAGAAGAACCTCCCCTGCTTTCCCCCCCCCCACTCTTTCCCTGTTTTTCCTGTCCTGTCCCACTGACCTGCCTGGCCCTTGTCTGCAGTGCCGAAATAACCACCTTTAACTCTGACTGTGGCCTAAGTTAATCTTCACCCTTGCAGGGAAGAGGTGTGTTAGTGCTGGCAGGGAGTGAGCAGGTGTTTCAGACACAGAGGCTTTATTCCTGTCCCTGTGGGTAGGAGGGTTTGGTCACAGCTCTATTTACACAGGGTTAGTCTTGTACTAACAAGACTGGAACAAGAACAAGCTGGAAGCTGGTGCCCCTACCTATAGACAGGTCTGAAGGGCATTTAAAACAAAATACATTTTTTTTTGCATCCTTTCTTGGACAGGAGCTGTGTTAGGCCACACCAGTGCTCATAGCTGGCCATGACCATGCTCGCACATGCATAGGAAGTTGGAACGTAACTTTACCACTTTGGGCCAAAATCTGCCTTCTGGGACTTTTCCCAGTTTTGTACTCATCCTGAAGAATTCCTGTGAACTGCAGTTTGATCTTTCTCTATCTTTGTTTAGGGCTTGGAGAAGCCATGGTCGATTGGCTGGTTTAACAGTTCTGCCCTCTTCCTGATTTGACATAATCATTAGGCACTGCTAAGGCTGAAAAAATAAATTAACTAGGCCCAGTGTTGACTTGGATCCCACCTGATTGCTTCTCTCACTCAGCTACAACACTGGCTCCAAGTCAGATCTTCGGTTTGGTGGAGAATTTATACAGAAAAATACACTGAATATTCCTAAGTGATTTGGTGCATAATAGTGTTTTTACTCAATAAGCAATACAGCTGTGCATCCAGAGAAGAGACCATCATTTTCTGATGTGAGTGTGTGGTGTGCTTTAGCATCCCAGGTGTCTGCCAAGATGCTTACTCCAAAGATACTGTACCAAAAAGTTGCCTTTGACAAGGGGCCGTGGTCACCATTACCATGGACAGACCACGGACCGGTCCAGCCTCATCCAGCAGGAACAATATGCTGGGAGTATTTCCATTCTTTCTGGGCTTCCATATTGGTCTTCTGAGTTAAATACTCATCTCTGAAGTACGTGGTGCATATATACACATAGATAGATGAATAAGAGAGAGTGATTTTCTTACTTTTATAAAGCAAAAAATAAAGCATCCCTTTTAGGAACATGATTGCGGTAAGAAACAGGCCTTTTTTGGGTAATTTCTCTCCAAAAATTCTTTCTGAAGAAGAGTTTCTTGTTTTGATTCTGGACAGTTGATTGTTAATCCTCTTTAATAAAATAACAGATTTATATTTAAGGTAAATCCTTTTGCCTTTCTGTTCAAGGGTGACTGTTAGGAACTGTGGTCCCTGCTCTTCAACACGTGCCCTGGTGCCCCTGCTAGACCACAAGGGTCCACTGGTAGGTGTGAGGGGGGCTTTGGCAGCCTGATTCCTGCCTTCTCCTGCTGCCAGGTTGGAGCACCTTGACAGCCAGAAGGAAGCCTGCTCCTTTGCCAGCCAGCCAAGTTGGATTTATGGATGCAGGTTGTTCCAACCTCCCGTGTCCTTTCCCTTCAGTAATCAAAGGGATGTGTAACCCCTGCTAGAGGCAGCAGCGCCATCACTGTGTGCTCTCACTTTTTCTGGTGCGTATCAAAAGTAGTTCACAGGTTTTTTCCCCTGTCTCCTGGGTTTTGCACTGGTGGCTGATGCTCAGAGCCAGAGAAGAGGGACAGCCTGGGCTGCAGCATTGGGGGACGAAGGGGAGCGTTTGCCAAAAGACTTTGGATCATTCAGTGCTTGGTTAGAGCTTCGGGAGGTCAGGCATGCCACGTGTTCAACTGAAATGGAGGGCTCGGAGCATCCATGTGCTCAGCAGCTTTGCAGGTGGGGATGTGGCTGGATTAAGGCAGTGCCCTTGGTCTTCCAGCACAGTCGGCGACAGCAGCTGACCTGGCTGCCACTTGCAAGGGGAACCCGATGCCTGTCTGCTGTCCCCTGAGAGTAGCTGGCCCACAGGTCCCTACTCCTCTGCCTAAATATAATTCTGGAACAGATATTTTCTGACTGAGGAGAGCTAAGATTAGCTCCCATTTGACTGCTGGAGGTCTTGGGTGGTGCACGGTCCCTCCACGCCGCCTTTCAGCTCTGTGTGTGTGTGCCAGCGTGAGCCAAAAATACTGCTCTGCTCCTTGGTGAGGAGAGCTGGAAATGGGGCTTAAAGACACAACTATGCAGTCAGCCGAGCCCAGGAGCTACCTGCTGGTTTGCCCCTGGGCATGGGAAATGGGAGCAGGCTCTTGGCTGCTGTCCTGGCTGGGCTCTGCAATCCCACCCAGGGCAGTAACGTGGAGGGGAGCAGTGCTCCACAGGTGGATGAAATGCCCATGGGAAAAGCACTGCCTGGCAGAAAACCTGGGAAACCTGTTTCTAGAATGTTCTGTGCCCAACTGTATCTGCCTCCCCCTGGGGGCTGCAAACCCTGGGGGTTTCATAGACCCAAACTGAGAGGACTCTTGTAGCACAGCTCTGTGTCTCCCTGTTAGGGGAAGCTGGTGAATCCATCCCACAGCTCAAGGCAAAACAGAGGAAGAAGAAACACCGAGGCAGAAAAAAACACCTTCAGTACTTGAAGGTTGTGTTATTTATTCCAACAGCTTATATAGTTTTATCAAACCATCTTTAACACAAAACATGTCTCCTAAAAGAGAGAATGGTGTGAGATCCTACCAGAGATCATCTCAGCTAACAGCTTGCAAAGTTAAGCCTGAATTTCAACAGTCAAACCAGCAAATTGTTTCTCCCCTCCCCTTAACAACATCTTAAAATGCTGACACCCAAATGAAAAGGTGCCTGTGGTTGGTGCTGCTGGGTCTCCAGGTGGGGCTCATCCCCACAGAGCTGTGCTTTGGTCCTTTCCTGATGCTAAGCAGCAGCAGCACAGGTAAGTGGTGTTGACATGAGGGCAGTGGGACTGGTCAGGTCCCTTCCCCACTGCCCACCCTGACGAGGGGCCACGTGGACAGTCCAGAGGCCAGGTCAGATCTAAGATGCAGATGAAGGTGAGGCTTAGAAAAACCAATAAACTGAACTTCTAATCTATGGAAACAGAATAAATAATAGTCTAAATTTGCAAAGGAGGAAGGTACCTTGGACAGGAGAGTCTGATGTGTCTATTATTACTGAAACTGTTTTCCCCCTAAGGGAAAATCGCAGCTAAGGCATCTTGAGAATGGCTCATGTCACTACAACCACGGCAGTGTTGCTCTAAATCATTAGGGATGGGGGCAGAAGTCTTTTGGAGGTGCCAGTCCTTGCACAGCATCTTGTGGCTCTCTACAGAAACGTGGTTGCAGCAGAGGCATCTGACGGACAACTTGCTGTTCCAGGTTGGCTTTTGTCCGCAGATTCAATTGCAAATTCTTGTCTGATGTTCACAGCAAGGCCTTCCTCCTGCCCATCCCGACCCCTGTTTGCTCTCATGGGGAGGGGCTGCTTTCTTGCCCCTTTGGTCTTGCTCCAGGGTCGTTGTCAGAAGAGGAGGCATCTCTTTGGCTTTCTGCGAAAGGGAGGATTGGGAAGAAAGCAAAGTTACACCCTGCTGAGGACACAAGCCACCAGTAACTGCTACAGCTGACTTCATTCTCATTGCCACCTGAAGACCCACTGCTCCCCTGCTGTGGCCAGGCACTTCCCAGGCTGTGCCAGGAGCTGGGCTCGCCGGTGTCTGTGGCAGCTCACCTGCTCCCTGCACGGCGAGGTCGCCGAGCTCCTCGGTCAGCTTGCGCATGCTGATGGTGGTGGCATCTCGCTGGATGTCGTGGACAGCGTTCCTCCGGCCCGCCCGGTCGCAGGAGATGAAGTCGGTGTAGGTGCTGGACTCTACCTCCATTGCATCTCTATTCGCCTGCAAAACACTGGGGAGAAAACACAGCTGTGAGGACGGGGATGCTCGGCAAGGCTCGAGTCACGGCTCCCTCCAGGTGAGGCTGCTCCGTGGGGTTAAATTACAGCACGAAAAAACAGCCCCTGTAACTCTGCTCTGGTTCCTCTGTCAGCAGCCACTGAGATCTCAGATATCAACCCCCTCGTGTGGGGAGACCCACCGTGCTGGGTGGCCCAGTGTGCCAAGGATTCATCCCAGCTGCCTTACTGGCCCTTGTTCTACCTTCCCACTGCAAACCGAGGCAGACAAGGTGTTTTTCTCTCCTTTGGAGTTTCCAGCCTTCTCCTTTAGGCAAACAAGGTCGCTTGCAGCAGCTTTTCCCTTCAGAAAAAGCATTACAGAGAAAGACCTCCTTCCTCCTCAAAATGCTACAGGAGCTTTGAACAGAAGCCAAGTTTGGCTCACTGCAGGGGGGAAGGGGTGCTGATCCATCCTGAATTTGTAATGGGAAATGATGGAACCCCTGGGAACAGCTGGAGGAACAGAGGAGTATTTTACAGGTACGGGGCTTTGGAGCAGTACTGGCCTCCACTGGTTGTGGGATGTCACTGAAGAAGTGTTGGGCTGGACTGCTGTGAGATAAGCACTTTAACATGTGAAAAACAGCCCTTCTGTGAGACACTTGGATCCCTTCACTGCAGACTTGTGCCTGTGCCAAGGGCACAGCACAGAGAAAGGCTCGGAGCGGCCACTTGTCACACGCGAGCTCCACTGTGAGCCAGCTCCCAGCTCAGCCTGATGAATCCTTAAGTTGCTGGTTTTTCCCTTCAGCCCAGGGTGTCCCTTGCCAGCGTTTGCACAGCACACAGTGCAGGGGCTGCAGCAGCCCGGGGTGTCCTGTCTCCTGGGCACAGAGCTGGCGAGCACACACTGCCTCGGCACGGGAAACCCACAGCTCTCAGTTCCTGCTCCTGTAGACTCCGTTTGGCACTTAGTTTGGTTTTCTGTGTGGAAGTTAGAGATGAATTGTTGTCTTATCTGTGATTCTGCTCACTGTAAAATACACCTCTAGCTCCACTGATGGTGTCAGTGCTCGGAGCAGGTCCCAATTAGAAACGCTCGTGTGCAGTGAAAACAAAGTCATGCACATTTAATGCACATTCACTCCCTTTTGTGCCTGGGGGTTAATGACCCAGAGAAGTTTGCTCAGCTTCCTGTACAAATCCTGCTTAATTTCGATTTTCCTACCAGGGAATTCTGCTAGCAGACCACCAGACTGGACAGGAATCACACTCTTCTGCCTAATCCCCAGTGTTATGGCACTAGGAAGGAGATGAAGCAGATGGGATGAAAGAGGTTAAATTCCCCCCATTCCCGAGCTGAGCAGGGTGCAGCAACCACAGTCTTGGTAGCCCCAGGGACTCCTCTCTTGGTGCTGATGCCAGATCAGGGAGTGCTGGCACCGGCTCTCTGGTGGGATGTGGGGCTCAGCCTACCCAGACCTCCCAGGAGATCCTGCTTCCCCAAATCCAGCAAATTCTTGCAAACATCCATCTCCTCCAAGGGCTTGGCATCCATCTAGCCCCTATTAAATGAGCACTGGGAAAAGCTGCATCCTTTGTCCCAGCAAGAGATCCCAGCTGTTTTTCCTCACCTTCTCTCCTTCTGTCCCTGGCACGCCGTTCCTGGGATAAGGCACACGCTCTGGATGAACAGGCTGGATGAGCTCAACGAGCCTTTTCCCCAGGACAAGCTGAGCATCCATCATTCCCAGACAAGTCCTTACAGCTCATCAGAGCTCAGAGGCTGCTGACCTTCTGCAGCTGCCAGAGATGTCATACGGACTTGGGAGGCTTCTCCAGGAGTGATCCACACAAGGTTCATCTCCAATCCGTGAGGCCAGTCCAGAGCTGAGACGCTCCAGAGTCCTCCTGCCCTTGTACTGAGGGCTGGACCACCTGGTTTCTAGGATGGACTGCCCGAAGTGGGGACAGGAGACAGTCCCTGGGATGCAGCATTTTCCCAGTGTTCCTTGATGTAGCTGCCAACAGTAGTGGCAGTGCTGTGCCAAGCGACCAAGTGCCCCATCACACGGGAAAAGGATGGGATCCTGACTAAAAATAGAAGGCACCAAGAGTGCAGGTCTGGGTGGCCGGGAGATGGCGCATGTGATTTATTTATTTCCATGGCTAAGAGGGCTTCTGCATTCGGCTCTCCATGCAAGGAGCTGGAGACGGGCGGATTTATGAACAAAGCTTTCCAAATTGTGCAATTCCTTTGGGATTTTCAAGGTGGGTGGCTCTCAAAAGCCTTGCAGGCAGAGCCCTCCACACTAGCAGAGAGACTGCAGCCTCTTTCTCCAGGAAGCTGTTGGACTGAGAGGGTGATGGGAGCAGTTGCCTCGATTTTTGATAGGAAAACCTGATTTTTCAACGA